GTTCAATATACATAAATCTATAAATGTAATACAGCATATAAACAGAAGCAAGGACAAAAACCACATGATCCTCTCAATAGATACAGAAAAAGCCTTTGACAAAATTCAATACCCTTTCATTATAAAAGCTCTGAGAAACTAGGAACAGAAGGAATGTTCCTCAACATAATAAAGGCTATATATGGTAAACATATAGCCAACATCATACTAAATGGAGACCAACTGAAACCATTTCTGCTAAAGTCAGAAACAAGACAGGAATGCCCACTTTCCCGACTCCTACTCAACATAGTTTTGGAATTCTTAGCCAGAGCAATAAGACAAGAACAAGAAATAAAAGGGATTCAAATTGGGAAGGAAGAAGTCAAACTATCCCTATTTGCAGATGACATGATTCTAATAGACCCTAAAACTCTACCAAAAACAACCACTTAGAAACTACAAACTCTTCTGGAAACGTAGCAGGATACAAAATTAACATACAGAAATCAGCAGCCCTCCTATATACCAACAACAAACAAACTGAGAAAAAAAATCAGGGAAATAATCCCACTTACAATGTCATCAAAAACCATAAGTTACCTTGGAATAAATTTAACAAAAGAAATCAAAAAACCTTTTTAATGAAAACTATAAACCACTAAATAGAGAGATCAGAGAAGACATCCAAAGGTGGAAAGGTCTCCTATGCTCATGGATTGGTAGAATTAACATTGTGAAAATGGCCAAACTACCAAAAGCAATCTACATGTTCTATGCAATGCCTATCAAAATTACAATGACATTCTGCACAGAAATAGAAAAATCACTCCTGAAATACATATGAAAATACCAAAGACCTCAAATAGCCAAAGCAATTCTGAGCAAAAATCCAATGCTGGAGGCAACACAATACCCGACTTCAAACTATACTACAGAGTCATAACAATAAAAACAACATGGTATTGGCACAAAAACAGACAGGAAGACCAATGGATCAGAATAGAAGACCCAGATATAAACCTATGCATCTACAGCCAACTGGTCTTTGACAAAGGAGCCCAAAAAACACAATGGAGAAAAGAAGAAAAGACAGTCTCTTCAACAAATGCTGTTGGGAAAACTGTATATCCACATGCAGAAGATTGAAACTAGATCCAAGTCTTTCACCCTGTACCAAAATCAACTCAAAGTGGATCAAAGACCTTTCAAAGGCCTGAAACTTTGAAACAACTCCAGGAAGCATTAGGAAATACAAAGGAACATATAGGTATAGAGAGTGTCTTCCTAAGTAGATTTCAAAAGGCTCAACATCTAAGAGAAACAATGAATAAATGGGACTGCCTCAAACTAAAGAGCTTCTGCACAGCAAAGAAAACAGTCACCAGACTCAAGAGACAACCTACAGAATGGAAGAAAGTCTTTGCCAGGTACACATCGATAAGGAATTAATATGCAGAATCTACAGGGAACTCAAAAAACTCAGCCCTAAAGAATCAACATCCCAATGAAGAAATAGGCACATGAATTAAACAGGAAATTCTCAAAGGAAGAGATACAAATGGCCAGTAAATATATGAATAAATGTTCAATTTCCCTGGTTATAAAAGAGATGCAAATCAAAACACTTAGATTTCTCACCACAGTTAGAATGGCTATATTCAAGGATAATAACAACAAATGCTAGAGAGGATGTGGTTAAATAAGAAACTTTATACACTGCTGGTGGGAATGCAAATTAGTATAATCACTATGGAAAGCAATATGGAGACTCCTCAAAAATCTAAAGATAGAACTGCCATATTATCCAGTGATACCATTCCTGGGCAGCTACCCAAAGGAACATAAGTCAGGATACACCAACATTTGTCGCAGCACTGTTCACAATAGTCAAGCTATGGAATCAACCCAGATGCCCTACAACTGATGAATGGATCAAGAAATTGTGGTATGTATACACAATGGAATGTTGCTCAACCATAAGGAATAATGACATGTGGTTTGAAGGTAAATGGATGCAATTGGAGAACTTCATGTTAAGTGTGGTAAGCTAGGCTCAGAAAGACAAAGGCCACATATTTTCCTTCATATGTGGAAGATAGATCCAAAAGATAAACATATACACAGAAACAAGCATGAACATATACAAACTCATATGTAGAACATTTTGTAATGGTGGAACTACTTTATGGAACTCAGGGAAAGAAGGAAAGGAAAAGAGAATGATAGAACATCAGTAATATTGTAAAACATAACATCCATGAAGGTAGATGATATTTAAAGCTGTTGAAAATGGGGGGCTGGAGGTAAAGGGGTAAGAGAGAGTAATGGAAGGTGTTGAATAGACCAAAGTAAAGTACACTAGAAGTGGGGATAAATTGAGAAACTCCTTTTAACATCAACTTAAGTATTAATAATGAAAGACAGTACTGTAAAATAGGTACATACTGTGTGTTGGGGGGGAACTAGTGGGCGGAGTGGGGGAAGGAAAGAGATTAAGGTGAGGGTATATAGTTGATGGACTTCATATACATATATGAAATAGAACAAAGAAACCTCTTGCAATTGTTTTGAGTGGGGTGGGAAGGGGTTGAGGGGAAGGGACGATAAGGACAATGTAACTAATGTATAATATAATTCTAATTGGAATTGTCACTATAAATCCCCCCTGTATAATGAACATATACTAATAAAAATTTTATGATAAAAAATAAATAAATAATAGAGGAAGCAAGTTGGAAGAGCAAAAATTAGATTACATACCATACACAGCATAGTCAAGTTAGATACAAAGATGATAAATGATAAATAAAATACATACATACATACATACATACATAGATAATGGCTATGTGTACTGGGTAATATCTGTTCATGAAATACACAATTTTTATATTTCTTTTAGCTTCATTTCTATTTTTAAAGTAGTAAATGTGCATTACTTAAGGGATTAAAAAAGAATTAATGTGATTATATGTCCTTGTGACAGATCGCAAAGCATAATGCTCACATGTGAATAGCTAATGTCCTATATATTGACTGAATATGAAATTTAGAACAGCATGAATTTTGTTCCATTGTAAAATTAAATATTCTATGAACTCCATTTTGAAATAAATGTAAATTTTCCAATAAAAAAGAAGGAAATGCATATATATATATAATTGTTATGGATGTGGAAATCCTACCAATACAAAAAACATCTCAAATGAGCAATGGACATCAAAAGGAAAATGGACATTAAAATACATTTGCTTTATTGCCCAAAGGATACAGCATCCCATTCAAGCTGGCTTGGAGAATGTCATTTGCCATATAGCCAGAATAGAATTTCTGTTTCTTCCCCCTCAAGTCCAGAATTTGGAACCTGCCTGAGAGAATAGATTCATCAGAAAGTCCATCATGTCAGATGCATGCAAGACACCTCAGACCCTTGAAGGCAGAAGAAAGAGCCTTGGTGAGAAGGGCAGGTTACAGGCATGCTTCAGCTCCCACAACAGATAGCAGAGTATGCCTTCTCACCCACCAGAGGAAACATTCCTCTTTTCACATGAAACATGCATCAGTATGGAGGGAGGAAGAACAAGAAGTAATGACTCCCAAATGTCCCTGCAATGGGGTAAAGATGGAACCCCCACACACACACACACATTAAACTTCTTGATCTTAAGAGGACTGAGTTCACTTCTCTGTGATTGAGTCCTTGTGCTGTCCCTTGGCACTGTGGTGTGGACTCATGCTCACAACTTCATCACCTAGTTGAAGGAGGAATAGACCACATCTAAAATAATGTAAAGGACTGGAAAAATAGAAAACTTCAGTGGAGTTTTAAACTGTGTGTTGAAAATTATGTGTAGGAGAAGGAATTGGAGGGAAGGTTAAAGAGAATTAAAATGGTCAAGAAAAACTTCAAAGAGGAGATAAAATCTTTGTCTCAACATTTTTCTCACTTAACTTTTTGGGCAGAGAGAGAGAGACTATATATATATATATATATATATATATATATATATATATGCACTGATATACATAAATAGATAGATATAGATACAGATATCATATCAGCCCTAGGACCAGAACTAGGTTCCAGGAACCCCCTACAGACAGGCATCTGTGGAATGTCATGTGCTTTATATTAAATTATATTGTATTTGCATACAATCTGTTGGAGCCAGCAGTGGTACTGTGCCTGTGTGATTTGGCATCTTGCCTTCTGAGAAAGCTTCAAGGAACTGAGGCAAAGGTCTCGGGACCAGATGTCCAGAAAAATAGCAATCCTCAAGTTTCCCCAGATGGCTTCGTGTCCTTCAGATGTAAATAAGAAGGTTATGCTGACTGTGTGCTTCTCCTGCCTCCCTGTTCCTGTTTTAAAAGACACATAACAAAGATAGAGTTAATATTAACTGTGCTTCCTGGTACTAACATAACCTTTACAAGTAATACTTGGCATGCTTTTTCTGACGAAATGCTCTCTGTGAAAAAAACCAGCCTATAAAAAGCAGAAGTGATCTTCATTAAAGTGGCTATTAAGCATGACTCAATAGTCCCCTCATCTTTTTTGGCTCTGATCACCCAGGTCCTGCCAATAAACAGCAACACTGTCTATTCAATCCTCCCATGTATTTTAAGTCAAATCTGGATAATTTGTAATACTTAATACAGTGTAAATGTTATGCATATAGTTGTATGCTTTATTGCTTAGAAAACAATGACAAGAAAAGTATATGCACATATTAAATATAGATGAAAATTTTCTTTTAATATTTTCAACCTGCAATTGGTTGAATCTGTGGATGCAAAATCCAACTACATGAAGAGCCAACAATACATGTATGCATCTGTGTTATGTGTACATATATGTAAAATCTGTGTGTGTACATATATATTCTAAATTAAGTTTCAAAGTTCTATGAAAACAAATGACAAGAATGCTGAAGGGAAGGGGGACATTGACATGGAAATGAACCCTGACTTCATTTCTCAAAACAAAACTGAAAGAATTCTTCTTTATTCAAGAGAACATGAGTGCAAAAAAAGTTGCAGTGATTGGTGCTGGGGTCAGTGGATTGGGTGCCATTAAGAGCTGCTTGGAAGAGGGACTGGAGCCTATGTGTTTTGAAAACAGCAATGACATTGGAGGACTGTGGAGATATGAGGTAATTTTATAAATACTCTCATAAACTATGACGCTGTGTATGAGAGAGATGTTTTCTTTATAATAGGAAATACAACACTGATAACATCTAAATTATTTATTCAAGTATTCTTTTCAAAGTAGTAATATCTCTTATTCAGATAAACTTGAAAGTTTTGGAGTGCTTGCAGGGTCCTGTTCCCTTTCATTTCCCTGATGACCCCACATGGAATACTTCTGATATCAGTTGAAAATTTTACATCCAAGAAAACTAAAACTCAGAAATTGTGTAGAGTTCTTCTGCCTCTATCAAATTTGGGAAAGCACCAAAGATCTCCTAAATATTATTTTTGACATTTTCCTCAATACCCAACATACATGATCACCCTTTACAATGCTTTGTGTTATTAGATGCTGAAAAACTGTCACTGCTAAGAAAGGTATGTGTGGCTATGAATGTAATGACATCAAACTTAAAGGAAATCTTTGTCAGATTTCCATCACTATCACAAAGTACTAGAGAAAAATCAGTAAATAAGAGGAAAGGTTTATTTTGGAATATGATTCAGAGGTCTCAGTCTTTGGTAGCTTGGTCCTCTTGCTTTAGGTCTGTAGGAGAGCATGACTGTGGAAATCTGTTCATGTTGTGACAGCTAAGATTCAAAGAGAAAGGGCGGGGTTCCAAAAATCCTGAAGAAGTATCCCTCCAGTGGCTTGGCTTCCTTGCAGTGGCCCCACCTCCCAAAGATTTCACACTTCTAAATGACAGCACAAGATAGGTAACATGTGAACCTTTGGGGGAATTCCAGATCCAAACTATAACACATGCAAACTATATATAACACAAACTGTATATAACACATACATACAAACTATAACACAGAGGAGCAGAAGGAAGTAAACAAACCCTTAACAACAACATTTGGCTGGGAATGTAGCTCAGTGATAGAGCACTTGCCTAACATGCACAAGTCCTTGGATTTGATTCCCAGCACTGCAAAATACTAATGATAACGATAATCATGAAAGTAATAATATAATAATAATATCATTATTCACATAATATTGTTATTTCACATAATAATGTGTTTTACTGAAATAAAAAACATTTAAAAAAGAAGTCATTTTTGTTCTTAAATACTTGTCATATTTATCTAATTTTTCTCCTTTAAAAAATTTAAATATCTCACATGATTTATTTATTCCAAATCATGCAATGTTTTTGTCTAGCACCTTTTCATAAAACAAAATTCCTTTAATTGTGGTACAGTTCTTCCCTTGAAAAATTCTCTTTCCAAGTCCCTTTTCATTTGTTCAAATTTTGTTCATTTTGATTGTGTGTCTCATTTTTAGACTTGTAATTCTTTTCCTGTAGTGCTATCACTTTGGGTCTATTACTATAAACACAATTCTGCTAAGAGGTCCCATCCTAAGAAGTGAGTCACATGCTTCCATTTTATTGAGCAATATTGTAGAAACTAACCATCAAGTATGATTTTTTTAATGAAAAATAAACATAGCACCACAAGTATGCTCATCCCTACCACATTTTTTGTTGTGTTTCTGGATCTTGGAATCCATGGATTGTTTTATTTCTTGTAGGAAACACCTAAAAGTGGATGTCCTGGGATATACAAATCTTTGACCTGCAACACGTCCAAGGAGATGACAGCCTTCAGTGACTACCCTATTCCTGACCATTATCCCAACTACATGCACCATTCCAAAATGATGGAGTATCTCAGGATGTACGCCAGGCACTTTGGGCTTATGAAACACATCCAGTTTCTGGTAAGAGTAAAAACCCTGCTCATCATCTGTAGATTGGTCAGGGCAAAGCTGAGGCATGATTTCAATTTGCATTTCCCACAACAATTCTGAAAGAAAGATTATGCTGCCCTCATTCTCGTGGTTGGCAAAGATTTGATTCTGTCTTATTCTCCTTCACCAGAAGAGCATTGTCTCACAGTTTGAACCCGAAATCCAGTTTTCAACTAACTTTACTAAATAAGAATATAGGCTATAGTAAACAAAATCAATGCATTTTGTTCTCTAAAATACCATGATCCTTGGGAAATGATAATTTTAGAACATTTATGTGCACAATTTTCCTAAAGATCCAGGAACCCTGAATAGAGAAATTACAACCTATTTTATTTATGTAAACACAGAATTCTAGAGTAAAAATGAAGACTGAGAAAAAACAATGTCCTAGAACTAAGCCTATTTATTTTCTTTGTTTTCCAGACAAAGGTGTGCAGTGTGAGGAAGCGCCCTGATTTTTCATCCTCCGGCCAGTGGGATGTTGTGGTAGAAGCTGATGGGAAGCAGAAAACATATGTCTTTGATGGAGTCATGATCTGCAGTGGCCATTACACTGAAAAGTATTTGCCCTTAGAGGATTTTGAAGGTATTTACTGATGAGTATGTAATAAAAATCCTGAGATTCTAAGATTGTCAATGCTTGCATGATAAGCAGTAGGCAAAGGTATTTGCATGGCAAGGTGGGGATATAAAAGAGGTGTGGTGACTTTATGAAATACTCACGAAAGATCTGATAAAACAAGTTGCATTGGAACTGAAAACTAAGAATTTCTCAGGCAAACAGGGTCTGGACCAGGTCTTCCAGAAAGAGCAAGCAGTATGTGAAAAACAGTAGCATGTGAAATAGCTGGGGGTGCTCAGGGAATAGCACACATTTGACGTAGCTTGAGCAGGTGGGTGGGCAGGGAGAGGTGTGTTAAAGGTCAATGAAAAAACCTGTGCTTGTATGTGCATATTTGCAGAGTGAGTACATGACCATGCAAGTATTTCATAAAGATAAGGCTCTGTGGAAGATTAATTAATAGGGGAAACAAAGCAGGAAGTTCAATAATGAGGATTTTTTAACCATCCATTAAAAAGATAATGATGGAAGTTTCACATGAAGTAATGATAGTAGGATTCAGAAGGCAAAAATTCAGAAGATATTTTAGAGACCATGGTAACATTCAATGGATAACAAGGATATGCCAAAATAATTTTAGGCTTTATGCCATAATTGTGCAATAATTTTGAAATATAATCAAATTTCTCTTCAACCTATTTTGAAACTTCTAATCACCAAGGCTTATATTGTTCAGCAGGGCAGCCACTAGCCATGTGTTACTGTTCAGCATTTAAAATATGACTAATGCAAACTGAGATATGCTTTCAGTGTAATATAAATCTCAAACCATGAAGACATAATAAAAATGAATAAAATGCACATTAATAACTGTGGGTTTTTTTTTTAATCTTTCTTGGTGCTGGGATCGAACCCAGGGTCTCACGCATGCTAGGCAAGCACTGTACCACCGAGCTACATCCCAGCCCAATAACTGTGTTTTTATTATATGTTAAGTTTTTAGAGCATGATATGTTAAATAAAACACACTATTAAAATTAATATGATTTTGCCAGTCGGTGGTGGTCTATACCTGCAATCCTAGCTACTCAGGAGGCAGAGATCAGGAGGATCTCAGTTTGAAGCCAAACTGGGCAAATAGATCATGAAACCCTATCTTGAAAGTATCCAATACAAAAAAAGGGCTGACAGAGTGGTAGAGTGCCTGCCTGACAAGTGCAAGGCCCTGAGTTCAAACCACAGTACCACACACAAAAAAAATTAATAGGATTTGTTACATATTTTTCATGACTGTTATAAACTTTAAAGTTACGTATGTGGCTTGCATTCAGTTTCTTTTACACAAGCACTACTCTACATTACTAAGAATCTTTTCATATTTGTGAATTCCTTAGCAGAGGTACAAAAAGTGAAGGTACAGAGGTACAAACAATTCCTTACATATGCATAGACAAGAAGAAAATGATAGCAACTCCCTTAGTGACATGAGTAATCATATTGAGAAAAATTTGATATTTAAAAACAGAACATTAGTAAGCTTTGATTTGAGTCTTAGCCATATTGTCATTACCATTGAATGGTTTGGTCATTGGGCAATCCCATTCTATAGTATTGGCAACAACTGACTAACAAGAAAGAAAAGGATTTAAGTAACATACACTTTAAGTTCAAAATAAATTTTGTCAGCCTTTTTCGGTTCTGTTTGTGATTTGGAGGATTCTATCCTTCCTCACAGGGATCACGAAGTTCAGAGGCAAGTATCTTCACACTTGGGAGTACAAGAATCTGGACAATTTTGTGGGGAAGAGAGTGGTTGTGGTTGGCATCGGAAATTCTGGAGCAGATGTGGCTGGCGAGATCAGTCGTGTTGCTGAACAGGTTTGCCATTATACACTGATTCTGTTCTTGGGAGGAAGCTTCAGCCCTGTAGAGTAAGGACTATGTGAGTCTAGACTTTGCCTGTTTCTTTAGTAGTGTTATCCCAATTTTGACTGCCCGCTCAATAAGGCAATGTCACATCTTTTTCTTCTAGCTCTTGATGAGTGAAAGAATACAGAAAACAAAAATAGTGGCATACTTCCAAATCATAATGCATTGGTGTCATAAAAGAAAACAATCACATAAGAGTCAGATGTCTTAGCAATATCTACATATTTTTATGGTAGGGAGATGGGAAATTTCAAATTGAAATGAATTTTACAGAAAACATCAAGTTTTCATATTGGAAATAAAGTTTAAATAAAAATCAATATGCACAACTCTGAGTAAAAATATTTTGGTCTATGAATAAGTTGCTAAGAATAGAGCAGAAATTCTGTGGACTCTCACTGTGAGAAATAGTAGGAAAAGAGAAGCAATCTGCTGTCTGCCATGAATATTGTTGACTTGTTAAAAGCATGGAGGGATCACTTTACATAACTCAAAGTTCATTTTTTAAATTTTTATTCAGGTTTTCCAATAAGAGACACACGATCTCTAATACCTAAAGTTTTCTGTATGAGTGATATACAATCAGCCATTTTGAACGCTACCTACCCATGACAGGATTTCTGAGTTAGAAACACTTATAACTGATACATGAGTCAGAGACCTCAATGATAATGACATCACAGCTAGTGGTCAAATTTTCATTAAAAAGCTGCAGTATTCTTTCAAAGTCTCAGCTAATTAACTCAAAATAAAGAGTAAAACATTTCTCATGATGTATATTCTGTTTTTCATATGCTTTATAATTCTCAAATCCAATATTCTGTTAGTAAATGTGTGAAAATTCCCAGTGTAAATTATCCTTCTTTATTTTTGCTGTTGTCCCAGCCTTTGTATTCAGATAAATCTCCATGATTCATAAATTCAAGATGAAAGAGCTTAGGGGGAAGTTGAATACTAATTTCTAATTTCCAACATAATAGCTTATTTATGTTAAATTTTTTTCATATTCTGGGACCTAAGAGATTCCAGACCTCTAGAACAGCTACAGGAAACATTACAATGGAAATAGATCCAGGAAAACAGTAAGTGAAATGACAGAACCTAAGTAATTGAATGTATAGATTAAGAGAGGGGAAGGAATGCAAACAAAGTGGATGAGGTGATGTGAGAAGTTAATCTATTTCCTTGGCAATTTAAAAATACTCTGAGGATATGATACCCGGGGAGGAAAAAACAAAATTGTTACAGAACAACTCGTCTCTTGCAGGTTTTCCTCAGCACAAGACAAGGTACGTGGATATGGACCAGGGTTTGGGATAACGGAAATCCCATGGACACCACACTCTTCACTCGCTACAATAGAACAGTCCAAAAATTCTGTCCAACATTCCTGATCAACAGATGGATGGAGAATAAATTAAATGCAAGGTTTAACCATGCTAATTATGGGTACAGCCTAAACATAGGTAAAGTCTAGACTTCAAGGCAAGCAAAAAATATGTTTAAGCTCCTGGACTAGTCAGCAGAACTTAGATGCTGTGTGTCAGGAATAAGAAATAAAGGGGGGCACTGCAACTCTTGGTAGCATTTATTTCGATAAGGAATATCCAAGGAAGTCTTGGTTATTGCACTAAGTTATAAGAAAAAGTGTGATGGTGAGGAATGGGGGAGTAGACACATATACTTATCTCATTGATCTCACAAACCATCTCACTATGCCCAACTCTACTTACCTCTCTTTCACTTTCACTTGTCAAATACCTTCTCTTCACTCCCTAAATTCTAAACTATGATTCCACATTTACCCTCAGATCTACCATCAACCAGGATATTTTCCATTAAAGACTCACTATTGAAGTCGTGCAGATGCACCTTTAGATCAATCAATGTCAACCTTTTTGTGATATCAAAGATGAATATATATGTTAAAAGTGAAGGATTTCATTCCTGGTAAAAATATCGTTATCTAAATAAAGTTACTGCTTATTATCACCTGCTCAGCACAATATGGTCTTATAATTATAGCACAAAAATATTATTAATCTAAAAATACACTTAATGTATTTTATCATTTGACTGGAACAATCTGATGTGATTGTTACAACATTATTATATTTCAGGATAGGAAACTGATGCTAAAGTTTTTCATGATTTATCCAAATTCTCACAGCTGGCAAGTGGCAGGACCAATATGGAGGCCCAGTTATGACTCTGAAATCATGTTCTTATCCAGTACTAGCTTTTTATAAATACTAAAAAAGTAATAAAATACTATAGCAGCTTCCTGAGCATTTACCTTACACAACTTTTTTTTTTGAAGAAAACTCATACTCAGTTCTTGATATTACACTGCCTATCATGTAGATTTCTCAGTCATCAGGCGATTTTTGGTGATGACCTGCCAAATCACATAATTACTGGAAGAGTGTTGGTGAAACCAAATGTGAAGGAGTTCACCAAGACATCGGCCATTTTTGAAGATGGAACTGAAGAGAGCATTGATGCTATTGTCTTTGCCACGGGCTACACCTTCTCTTTCCCTTTTCTGGAGGATGACTTAGCAATCCTGGACAGCCGGCACTCCATGTTTAAGTTTGTCTTCCCTCCTCAGCTGGAGAAGCCAACACTGGCTTTCATTGGCATCCTCCAGCCAGTGGGAGCCACAATCCCCACATCAGAACTCCAAAGCCGATGGGTGGTACATGTGTTTGCAGGTATGTACTGGTCTTCTACAGGATCAAAGTAGGTTCACAATTATACATTCAGATGAAAACAGCATTTACAGGCCTTCTATTTAATTTGTCTTCTACTATTTTACCAAGTCTCCTGAAATTTCATCATTAGAAATTGATTATAAGAGGGTGCTCTAGAATTTTGACGTTTAATTTAAGTGAGAATTCTGTTTAAATGAAAGCATCTAAGGAATAAAAATTTAAACGCATGAAATTATAATCAGGTTACATTGAGTTTTGGGTATCCATTCATTTGATTCTTTCCAGCAGAAAGCTGATTTGAGTGAGACTATGGAAGCAGAGATTCATCATAGTAGAAAAACAAACAGGGAGAACTTACTTATGGGCATACATTCAGAAAGGTACTTTATTTCCTATCCAACTCCAGGGACGTGGATTGTATGACTCATGGTCTTGACTCATTTCCCAAGTCCTTACCCAAATTGATGCTTCTGAACAAAACAAAGTTGGTACAAGAAAGAAATCAGATTCAAGTTTGGCAGAGTTGCATTATAGTTTCTGAGGACCAGAGTAAACTGTTTGGACCACATGGCCATGTTCCCAAATAGCTGTGACCAAATTTTCCATGCTCTAATTAATGATAAGTCAGGTTTTGGTCATCTCAGGATGGCTCGTCCCTGATGAGTCAGAATGGGATCCAAAGTATGGATGCCCTCCTCTAAGTCCTCTATACTTTGAGACATAAAATTATCAATTAGGGTGAGTCAGGAAATTAAATGGTGCACTAATTTTCACTTAGTGAGACGTGTATATGCATCTATGTGTCTTAAGCACATCACTCATTTTCTGAAGTCATTTGACTCTTCTCTCGGTGAAGTCATTTCAGGTAGTAAACTAATTTGATTCTCCTCAAAAATCTCTAAGCATAACTCTACTTTGGTATGTTGGTTTCCTTTTATATATCTGACTTCCCTTTCTCCTAACAAGCATATGTTTTCTCTGCTGATTTCCACCATAAATAACTCACTGGAAATACAAGGAGTAACAAATAACACCAAAGGTATTTTGAAAGATGACAAATGGATGGCATGGTGGTGACTATATGAGAGAGTAATTAAAAAAATATATGTCATGCTTATTGTATTTTCTGTTTCCTACTCATTACTGATTGCCCTTTCAAAGAGTGAAATTTTTGAAAGTATAAACTTGGTAAAGATTTATTTTAGTATAATATATACATACAAAATGGCTACATCACAACTTGCCAAATTCTCACAAATTCAGCACCACACACACACATGCACACTCAACCCATTGTTAGGATTTTTATAAAGACCAAAAGAACATAGCCAGTTGGGCTGGAGGTGTGGCTCAAGTGGTAGAGCATCTGCTTTGCAAGCATGAAGCTCTGAGTTCAGACCCCAATTCTACCCAAAAAGAGAAACATAAAGAACACAGCCTGTTCTCAGAAATTCCCCTTGCACTATTTTCTAGCCTCATTGTCCATGGCACCAGCAATGGTAACTACTATGCTTATTTCTATTAGCAACAATTAATTTTACTTTTTTCCTTTTAATAAATGGGATCATAAACTATGCCCTCCTTTTTTCTTGGCTTCTTTCTCTCATCATAATATCCATAAAATTTATCCATGTTTTGCAATTATTTCTACTGTTATATAGTACCCCAAATACTTATTCTTTCAAGATATACATATATATGTATGTCACCCATTCTTTACAGATGGGAATTATAGTTATTATTTTTAAAATGATACCATGACAACCTAAAATATGTCTTTTGTTGAACCAATATACATATTTCTCTTAGTTGTATATCTAGGAGACTAATTGGTACTTCACAGGTGCAAAATGGTATTTCAGTGGAATGGAATGACCTATTTTTACAGATCTGTTCCTTCCATGTTTGGTACACTTCATCCTCTAAATGGTGTTTTAACAGTACTTGTGTAGAGCATACTTTTAGATTAGTGTTACATAGCACTTGATGGTTTCAAATGCCCCCAGGTAAACTGGGGTTCCATTATAACAACAGCTAGCAATTCTGCTCTAAAAGGAAATGAAGGAAAACTGGATTAGGTGATTATAGTTTGCCTTTCATGAGATATTTCTTTTACCTGGGTCAGGGGGAGGCTTAATTGTCTAACAAGTGACCCGGGAGTCCTTCACACAATAACCTTTGTTACAATGACAGATATTCTTCCTTGTAGCACTTACCTGTCTGGTATACAGTTTATGCCTGCTGCACCATCACTCTGGTGCTAGGAGACAACATAGTTTCCTCCCTGGAATTCAGGGGGCAACCAGGCTTAGGAGCCTCTAGTTCTTCCTATAGAAGATGAAATAGTCACTATAATAGGAAATAAGTTCAAATTTTACTACTTTCTGATCCTGGGCAGGGAGGGTGCGATGAGTAGATAAAGTAGCACTCTATATCTGGATTACATCAAATAGGAATGAAGAGTCAGGCAGAAAGAGAGTTTGTGGAAACTAGCAGTATATAAGAAGGAATAGTAAGTGGGTCACTTTAAATTCATAGACAAATGCCTGAGTAGTGTCTTTAAAGAGAGACAGAATAAGCGGGGGAGCCCAGTCCCTAGGTTGGAGAGATGTCTCTAAGTTGCCTCTAAGTGCCTGTCTCTGACTACCACAAGCTTGAGTCATTTTTTTTTTTATTCATATGTGCATACAATGTTTGGGTCATTTCTCCCCCCTCCCGCCGCCCCCCCCCCATCCTCTCTTCTCCTTCATCTCCCAGCCTACCCCCTCGTTACCTGGCAGAAACTATTTTGCCCTTATCTCTAATTTTGTTGAAGAGAGAGTATAAACAATAATAGGAAGGACCAAGGGTTTTTGCTAGTTGAGATAAGGATAGCTATAAAGGGAGTTGACATGCACTGCTTTCCTGTGCATGTGTGTTACCTTCTAGGTTTATTCTTCTTGACCTAACATTTTCTCTAGTTCCTGGTCCCCTTCTCCTATTGGCCTCAGTTGCTTTAAAGTATCTGCTTTAGCTTCTCTGCTTTGAGGGCAACGATGCTATTATACTTTATTGTGTAGGTATCAACCTTTCCCACTGTACTGATAAGGCAACAAGGGGAACCAACTCTCTTTCTCGGTTCACCTGATTTTATTGTGCCTTTTCTCACTCATGTCTTCTCTCCTCTGACCTATACATGCACACATAAACACCTTTTGGAGTGGAGGGTCCTGGAGTTTGAACTCAGGGCCTTGAGCTTGCTTTGCAAACACGCTACCATTTGAGACATGCCCCCAGCCTCATAAACCATCTTTTAAAAATTATTTATTTTCTTACTAATTCAGTTATTGTTGCCAGAAAACTTCCCATCACTGCATACTTTATGAAAATACAGTGAGAATAAAAATTTAACCAGTTGCTCTGAGGACTGAGAATTATTTTTAGTGTGAATTCAATGTCAGGGTCTGTTCAGATAAGACTTTTGAGGCAGATCACTTAGAGTTTGAGGACACTGGAAGATTTAAAAAGATCCAACAAGCCCCACTACTGGCTATATAACCAAAGAAAATTAAATTAACATGTTAAAGAGACACTTGCACATCCATGTTTATTTCACAAGTATTTAAAACCCAGGATATAAAATCAACCTAAATCTCCACCAAGGGTTGAATGCCTAAAGAAAATGTGGCTATATACACATAGTTAACTATTACTTGGCCAAAGATATGTGTGAAACCCTATTATTTTGGCAACATGAATGGACCCAGAGGATATTATATTAAGTGAAATAAGTCAAACACAAAAAGACAATCTCACTCCTAAGTGAAATCTAAAATCTCATATAAGCTGAGGACAGAATAGAGGTTATCAGAGACTGGTGAGAATGGAGGAAGATGAGGAGAGGTTGGTCAATGGGTAAAACATCACAGTTAAATAAGAGAAGTAAGTTCTGGTGTTGTATGGCATGACAAGGTAACTACAGTTAACAACAATGTATTGTATATCTCAAAACAATTTAAAAAAAGGCTCTTGGATGTAGTCACCATGAAGAAATGATAAAAATTTAAGATGATGGTTATGCTAATTACCCTGAGTTAATTATTACCTCATATATACATGAATCAAAACCTCACACTGTAACTTATAAGTATCTGTAAACATTATGTGTCAATAAAATCATGCAATGGGAATTCTTACTGTGCACGAATTTTGAGCATAGATTTAAACTGATAAACAACTCAAAACCTACCTCCCTTAAAGGAAAGCTGAGTTACCCCCTAACAACCTGATGATGGTGTAAAGGAGTTTATCTTTCTTGTATTTTATTAATAAGCTCTCATTATGAATTCCATAAAGAACCGATTATAACTATTTTCTTTCAAAACCATTCTTTTTATTTGCTTGTCTTTCCCAACCCTCCTGACAGTCCTCAATTTTCTATCACTCTTTCTTAGGACTGAAAAAATTACCCTCAGAGAGTGACATGATGAATGACATCAATAGAAGAAAAAGGAAAATGGCAAAAGAGTAAGAAAACTTAATTGTTGCTTAAAGTAAATTAATCTAGACAGAATTTTGGTATTTCCCATTACATAGTTTGTACCTACCTAAATGTGATCTGGTACTTTTAGTTCAATGATAACATTAATTGGTTAGACACCTATTCTGTTCACTTTGTAATAAACTTACATTCAAGAGCATACATAGGGGGACTTTGGAGGAAATGAAAGGTTACCAAACTACAATTTCATAACTAATTTGACAGTATAAACTTTGAAACTGGATATGACATGAAAATATCATTCATAATTTTTGTGGTATTAGGTCTCTGGTAAAGCTAATTCTTAGTTTATATTTTTGTTGATAAAATAAATGGATTTCTCTTTCTGTTTCTGATTATTTCTGATTTTAGGAAAGTTACTCTTTGAAATACATTTACTTTTTTAAACAAATCTTGCTTTGTTGAGTATAATAAATATATATTTGGCCATTTTAGATTTGCTAGGTAGACAATAAAAATAACTGCCATTTTGATTCATTTCCATATTTATGCCTTTTTTCTGTTATCATAACTTAGAGGTAACTTACAGGATGATCTTAAATAATAGCACTCTATTCCAGAACCCCTCCAGTATTTCACTTTTAAGTACAGTATTGTTTAATGAGGTTGAAACAGTGTCTTATCATTCCCACTTTTCACAAAGAAACGGATATTGAATTTCACCAAGTGCTTTTTGCCCATGTTTCTAAAATAACATGGATTTTCACTATTGACATGGGATAGCCATCAGTTATAGTAATGTATTTCTTAAACTAAACTGTTCTTAATTTCTGGAAATAAAGACTACTTGGCCATTGTGTATGATTACTCTGAAACACAATTGACAGAATTGTATTTATAGTTTTATAGCTACAATCTATCCATAGATGTAATTGGTTTGTGATTTTTCTACTTCTTTGTCCCTTTTTGTATACTTTTGTTATATTGTATAATCAAGTTTATACCATTCTTAGAAAAAGAGTGAAAATATTTAGTGCTTTTGTGTACTCAAAAACAACAGATATAGACTTAAATAGGGTGAAGATTAATTTTACTTGAAAACTTAAAATTATTATGAATATTAGGGGCTGACCTTTTTTTTAGGAATAATTCTCAGACCACATTTTCATTGTATCCATTCTTATTGGTCTGGTTACATTCCTCTGTTCTGTTAAAAATGTTTTTATTAGAAAATTATCATTTTCTATCATTTTCATGTAGTTTTGCAAATTTCAAGCATGCAGTTATATATATAATAATTTTCTTATTTTAAGTTCTCCCACACCTTTACATGGAAAATATTTTTACATCTTCATATCAAATCTTTTTCTGACTGATTTTATAAATACTATATAGATTTCTCTCTTCTATTCTTGGTTAAATTTTCAAGAAATTTCTCTATTTTATTGTTTGTTTTTAATTTGCAAGTAACCACCTTTAATATTTTTTCTTGGTTTCTTGAATTTAGTCTTTTGCTTTAATTAATGCTTTATTGCTGCCTTCCCTAGCCTTTGCCTGCGTGTGTGTGTGTGTGTGTGTGTGTGTGTGTGTGTGTGTTCTTTTCTTGTTTCTTCATTTGGCTATTTAGCTTATTTGCATTTTATAATGTTCTTTTAAAAATAATAATATAGCTCCTCCCAATGTTTTGACAGGTATTAATATTTTTTAAAGTATTTCAGTTTTGCTTTCTTTTACCCAACTGATTTTAGGGTGTTTTCAACTTTCCACATATGTGGAACAATTTATGACCTTCTAGGGATACTCAAGTATATATCTGATGTACAAAATTAACATGTGGGAAAGATATTTCATGTAAATTGAAAGCATATGCTGAAAAATTCAGTTTAATGCTATTCTATTCAACTCATTCATTGGTGAGCAGAATTATACAGTAGAGTCTATGCATGGAAGAGGGATCAACATCCAAGGTTTCATCCATTCCTTCATTCATTCAATATTTTTATTATGCATGTCACTCTAGTGGGCACTTGGGAAGGTTGACATTAAGGATTCACATCTTGAGCTTAGAGACCATAGTGTTCTAAGAAAAGTCAAGGCCTGTGTATAAAATTAAGAATATTTTTAAGTAGAAGATAATGAAGTCAATAAACAAGCAAAAATAAAGTTTATTGGGAACTCAGAAAACAATAATGAATGAAACCCAATATAAGGCTTTCAATATTTTTCTTCCTGTTCCAGGTTTGTGAATAGTCCAAGAGATATACATCGAGTGCAGTATATTGACTACATGGATGAAATTGCTTCCGATTTAGGAGTCAAACCCAACCTCTTCTCTCTCCTCCTCTGGGATACAAAGCTGGCCAAGGAGATTTTCTTTGGTCCCTGCACCCCATATCAGTACCGTCTGCAGGGGCCAGGGAAATGGGCCGGAGCCCGGACAGCCATCCTCACTCAGAGAGACCGCATCTTCAAACCCCTGAGAACACGTGTGCTCAAACACTCTGGGTCTTCCTCCTCTAGTCTCTTTTGGATAAAAATTATCTGCACTGTCATTTTTCTCTTTGTTCCTATATTGGCCATCATACAAATGATTTATCATTAATCTCACACTGACATAGATTCTGTAGTTAATGGAGCTATAGAAGAACAAGTCATTGTTAGTAAACTACATACCTCTGTACCAATTAGTTATATAGGAAAAGAAGTTTATTAGTCTGACTGCTCACATATCAACACTTAAATGTAAACAAGATTGTTTACAGAGGAGATGGGGAGAAGAAAGAGGAAAAAAAGAAAAAATATATAATATATATTTTACTTTGCATATGAATGCATGGAAATTCCATGGTGAAACCCTTTTATATTATTAATATAAATAATTAATAATTTTTAATTATTCCAATATGCTTTCTTAAGTGCTTTAAGAGAAAAGATTTTTGAAATGTGTTGTTTTGTTCTACTTTATTCAGGAAATAATTTGAAATGTCTAACAAGTTTATAGAAAAATATGATGGTAGAGAGTAATGAAAAATGGAGTTCAGTAAATAAACAAGGATACAGGAAAAATTGCACTAGGTATAAGGCTCAAAGTGCATTGTGTGACCTCAAAGTATCCCCCACAGATATATTTTTTGCAAAGGGAAAATAGGTATTTTCAATGGAAAATCAGTTACCACCTTAACCAACTTATCATATAGCAATATTACTGAAAGGTCAATGTGTAATTTTGCAGCTCCCAATATGATGAAATAAGGAAGTCCAACATCACATGGTTAGTATTGTTGCCAAAAATGTTTAACATGAACATAATCATGAGGAATAATCAGAAAAATGAAGAAAATGCAACACTCTCAAGATATCTTCTTACACTCTAAAGGAAAGTCAATGTTACTACAAAATGATCTAAAAATAACTAGGAAAATGTTTCTATATTAGGGGATACTAAAGATGCATAAGGACCAGATGGAATATTTAAACATGGACTGACAGACTTAGGACAATGGGGAAAAATTAATAGACAGTATTTATTAGGTGATCTTATTAAATTAATAACAATATTACCTGATGTAATAAAGATATTATGGTTAAGTAATACACCATCATTTTCTTTAGAATAAATCATCATTTTCTTTAGAAAATATATGCAAAGTAGAAGGAATAAATTGTCGTGTTATCTAAAATTTATTTGCAACAGGTACAGAAAGAAATGTGGATTTGTGTGGAGGTGTACAGAAGAGACAACATAAAAGGCACAACATACTAAAAACTGCTGGTTCTAGGGGGAAATGGTATAAAAATAGTCATTGCACTATTCCTTCACCTTTTTTATAAATTTTAGAATTTTAACATAAAATTTATAATGAAAAACACATTCTCAAAATGATTTATATGTGGGCCACAGGTAGGCTATAAATTTGATAGATAGATCAGTAGACATGTTGGAACCAGCTTGGCTATTTTCCTGGGACTTACTGTGTCTGGTGTTCACCTTAGTTTCCTTACTCTTAGTCTACAAGCAGCTTTCTGCTAGCTCTGCAGCACTGCAGTCACCTGCTAGCCTTGCAAAGTTTCCAGCAACTGTAATCACATACTAAAAGGGAGGATAATAAGGGAGGGTAAGTGGAAAATTCTGTATTTAACCAAGCCCCTGACACAGACTGGGGCTCAGGGCTTTGACAAATTATCTCCCTGATTTTGCTAGCATAATAAACTCCCTGCTTCCTATAAAAACGATCTCAGTGACTTTGTTCCCCTCGTCGTTCCTGCAACATTTCTGGTGCATTAGCTGGGAACAGGAGAGACCAAAGTTGGCATTTTTGCCTCCCCGGCTGTTGGGCTTATGGCCTGGCTCCTGGGGACATACATGTCCCTGCTGTGCCAACTAGCCCCTTTTGGCCAAATTTAAACAACAAAGTGGCTTAGAAGGAGTGGCCCTTAGGCAATGGGCTTTTAGACAAGGACAATAACAAAACAAAATCCAACAAAAGCAGATGTCTAAAAAGTTAACCTGGTTGACACATAAGCACTTATTAGAGTCACTTTTTATGGACTGATTGTAATTGCCTCAGAAGGATCAGAACTGTAATGACAAAAGCTTAAAAAAGCCACGGTTAAAATTTTGATGGACAATTTAGCAACTAACAGAACAGAATATCAGTACCACTAACTTTTTATTACCATGTTTAGCTAAATTTTGTATTTTAGAAGACTTGATATAAACTAATATACATATTAGTTTGGCTGTTATTTTTGAAGTAAAACCTTAGATTTTTTTATCAGTTGGGGGGAACAGTGTCAGTGACCGCCAAACAGCCCAGTCACAGGCACATATAGGGTACTGACTGTATTAGAATCACCCAAGACAACAGTTGTTTAACCATGAGGTCATATAGAAAATTTTACATAAACTGTTAGAAAATAAGAGGCATGGAGGAGACAGAGAGATGGCTCAAACACCAGCACAGGGTTTATTGTTTAGGCAAGAGTCCTGTGGAGGGCAACCCCAGCAAGAGAGCTAGAGCCCACTGGCACACACAGGCTTGGGCTAGATATAGGGGGCTATTGGAAAAATACCAGGAAGGTCACTTAAGGATACTGTTACTGAGTAATCAACAAAGACAAGTTGTAGTTAGGTCAGTGCCTGCTCAACTGCCCTTAGCATCCATTTGGGGAGCTAAAGATTAACAATTGTCCCTTTGTCAGTCTTTGGGGTTGAAGGAATAGTTTCTAGTAAGCCATTTGCAAGTGGGGAGGGGGCCTGGTCCTAACATGGCTGTCCTCATTGTTAACCCCAACATAACCAACTCTTCAATGAACATGACACAGTTACCTTAGTAGTTAAAATCCTGACAAAAATAATCAGAGAACACAGGTAAATTATTTATGGGGACTAAGTGTGGAGTTAGGAAACCTAATAGCCAAGAATCATGGCTCAGACATTGATAAGGGATCACATTCCAGGTCATTGACATCAACAGATGGCTCATGACATACAGCAGGATCCCATCAACCTATAGTCAATGGAGCCCCCTAAAATAACAGGCCCAATCTGGCCATCCTAGGCCAAAAATTCCCTCTGCCCCACATGTGGAAGGAGTAGGACTAACATCTCCACTCTGTTGACTCCAATAAAAACTGGGCATCTCATTATCCAGTGTAGTGTTCCTTTTTGAGTTTTTATTTCTTTCTTTTCCTCCTAATTGGAGGGTGTACTTTGGTTTTGTTGTTTTCTTTTGTTTTTTGTTTTTTTCCTCTGGTTTAAGCCAGAGTGTTAACCCCTGAACCCCTGAATGTCTGCATCCTAGTGAGACTTGATTGAAATAAATTTGAAAACCTGTTTTATTTAAAGTACCAGTAGAACAGAGTAACAGTTTTTTACATTTACTTTATAATAAGAACCATCCTCAAGATGATTACATATTCATATGTAAAAAGCTTAAGCAGTTTATAACAGAGATCTTTAAAACAAACACCATGGTTTTTTTTACCTTGAATATCATATTGTAACAGCAATTTAAGAACCATTTTGAAGATGCTTACATATGCACACATGAACACACACACATAAAAGTTTTACAAATTAAGTATGCCAGGAAAAAAATGTCAACTTAAGCATTCATAAGATGATCTGGAATTCCAGGAGCAAATTAAATTTTGCCCAGTGCTTTAAACAAATTCACATACACACACACACACACACACACACACACACACACACACAATTAGAGTGCACTCTCAAAAAAAGAAAAAACTTAAATTATACCCAGAGGGCTATCCAGTGGATGATGCATCTGTTCTCTTGTGAGTCTCCCTCTTTGGAACTGAATTTTTTGTTATCCATCCCTTAACCTCAGTTGTGGCTATTTCCCAGGAAAAGCTCAAACCCCTGTTAACTCTCAAAGGTGTCTTACACACTTCTGAATAGCACTGTACCTGAGAGACAGGGCATTACCCCAAAAGGTAGTTACTAGCGGTTTCTGGGAGGTGGATCAGTTTCCCCTTTTGCAGGCCTGAATTTGAACCCTGATTATTACCAGCCTGATGAGCAGCGCTTCCAGGTTGGTTCTTGCGCCTCACAGGGTTCCCTTGTGAATCTCAGACCTTCATCCCAACTTGCCGGGAGGAGGAATCCCCCTCTGGATCAAGTTGTCCATTGGAGCCTGGTGGGATCTTCTCCCAGTTGTCTGGGGGATGCACTCCAGCCACAAGGGAGGTGACAAATCACCATCTCAGCAATTCTGGCAATGAGCCCCCAAGAAATGTTGTGGGAATCTCAAGCTGAGATACAGGACACTGAGGCAGTTTAGCAGGAAGCAACGTTTATTGTGTCAGCACAGACTCAGCAGGCTCATGTTTAAAGGCTCAGATCTGAGAAAAAAGAGGTCTCACTTTAAATACCCTTGCAAGCAGGTTACAGAGGAAAAAAGCAAAGCTCCACCCACATATGGATGCATGTGACTTCACTGGCTATTTCATTTCCCAGTGCTATGTGACCTTCTTCTTGTTTCAGCAATTTAAGTTTTACCTCTCTGCTTTGCCATCCCCTCCCCCACCTCATTATCAGAACAAAGCCTGTCTGTTTCTCTTCTGGTCCTCCTCCCTGCTACAAGGACACTATATCTAACAAAAACGTCTTTTAGAACTTTCTTACCCTAATTGCAGCAGAATCTCACCTTCCATGAGCCCATTATTTGTGATCTGGCCTCCCATCTAGCACTGAATTTTATTACTATGAAATTTTTTTAGAATAGCAAATCTGATATCTTATGAAGAATCTTTCTAAAATATTTTTATAAACCTAAATTTTGATAAACACTGAGAATGGAATCTCATAATGGCTAAAGTAGAGCAACTTTCAAGATAGCTGCTTTGAATTCAGGTTCCTTTACCTTAGCATAAAACAGATTGGGGGCTCCTGCCCTTTTGTAGACCTGAGAGATGGGACAAAGCAGCTTTTGCTCTCACCTGCCTAAGTGAGATCAGAGCCCAAGGGGACTCACTCCAAGCCCAAGGCATTTTTTAGTAAGTTACTTTCAATCTGCTCCACACAGGTAAATGTTTGAGCCCCAAAAGCTCAAACATTTTGAGCATTTAGCACAGCCA